TGGCCCGAGGATCTGATGAACCGCCGGTTTTCCTGGAAGTAAGTCTGTTTTTGCCAATAGAAGCATTTCTCTAATAGATAGTTTGATTTAGATGCACTACAACAATGCCCCAAACACCAAGCCAATTGTCTTTGTGGGCAAGGGCATCACCTTTGACACCGGTGGCATCTCCCTGAAGTCCTCCTCCAACATGGACCGAATGCGCGCCGACATGGGCGGCGCCGCTAATGTCCTCTCCACCATCTACACGCTGGCCACCAAGAAAGCCCCGGTTAACATTATTGGTTTGTTTTATGTCGGAATAGACAGATCGAAATCATTGACAATAATTTTCTTTTGCAGGACTGACCCCGCTGACGGAGAACATGCCCAGCGGCAAGGCCACCAAGCCCGGCGACACGGTCATCGCCTCCAACGGCAAGTCCATCCAGGTGGACAACACCGACGCCGAGGGACGGCTTGTGCTCGCCGACGCCCTGATCTACGCACACCAGTTTGACCCGCTGCTCATTCTGGACATTGCTACGCTAACTGGTTCCATGAATGTCGCCCTAGGATCTGCTGCCACTGGCGTCTTCACCACCTCACCCAAGTACTGGAGCCTGCTGCAGAAGGCGGGCACAGAGACCGGCGACCGCGTCTGGCGGATGCCCGTCTTCAACCACTACACCAAACAGGTGGTGGACAGCCAGCTGGCCGACCTGAACAACCTGGGCAAGTACGTGGGCAGCGCCGGCTGCTGCATAGCCGCCGCCTTCCTCCGCGAGTTTGTCACCCACCCCCACTGGCTCCACCTCGACATTGCCGGCGTCATGGACAACAGAGACGAGGTGGCCTACCTCTGCAAGGGCATGAGCGGTCGACCGATGCGCACGCTGGTCAAGTTTGTCGAGCAGATCTTTGAGAGTAAGGCCTTTTGAAGTGTGCATCAGTGTGGTGGTACACATCGTGTGATACCGCGGTAATTAATTGATAAACTGAGAATTCTCGATCGTACAGAGCCAGGGGTGATAGGGAATGAGTGCGTTGAGTGCTTGTTTCATCTTCTGCTGTCGAGCATGCCAATGTTGGAGGTGGTCCGTTCGAGGTAGGCGAGCGGGCCCTGCAGTCCGCCCACGTTCGGGTTGCCCCCCATCTGCGGCGGCATTTGCTGGCCCACCATGGGCGAGCCTTGAGGACGTATCTGCTGCGGCGTCGGCGGTTGGCCCATCATCGGACTGCCCACAGCGTGCGAGTGGCCGCCCATCGGCGAGTTTACATTGCCACCACCGGCCTGCCCTGGCATCGGCTTCATCTGAGGTCCTAAGGGCCCACTGGGGTGGCCGCCCATGTTCGGCGGCGGAGGTCCGGGCGGGCCACCCGGGTTCATTCTCATATTGGGCGGCATTTGCATTTGCATTGCTGGGCTGGGTCCGCCGCCGCCAGACATGGTCGTGGCAGTGGTGTGGCCGGCATTTGGGTTGGGCAGCTTTCCACTGCAGGTGTCGTTGACCACCGCCGTCCACTTGCTCAGTTTCTCGTAGTACTTGCTTAGCAGGTGGTCCTTTCGCTGAATTTCCGACTTCAGTTCGGCGATCTCCTCGCTGAGAATGAGCTCCGGCCGCTGGTCAGCGAGGATGGCGCGCTTCATGATGAAGTCGTTCTCAATCTGGCGAGACACCTCCAGAAAGCGGGTGATATTCTCGGCATTGGCCTTCAGCTCGTCGTCGTCGAAGATGTGCGATGAAGTGGGATAGATGTACGGAGCAAGACATGCCTGCGCGAGAAAGAAAGAATGTCGGTAAAGAAAGTGTGCGGATTCAAAGTGTGCAACAACACAAAAGTACCTGGAAAGCATTCTCGAACTCTTCAAGAAGTGCCATGACGATAAATGAGGTAAGAAGTGTTAAGTAAGAAGATAATTAAGGTAATTAAAGATGTCAGAAAAGTTAGGATTTGACAATCAGGTAGTGAAGAGAGCAAAACAAAACTTTTTGCGAAAGCTATTTCCACCGCTCAAGTGAATAAAGTGGCAATAGTAACAGAAAATTTTTTAAAAAATTAATCAGTCTGGTAATTTGTGTTGTTCCTGGTTATCACTACAGCTACTATTACTATTACAAACAAAAAGAGAGACAAGAAACACTTAAATATGGTCAATGTGACCTCATGTTTTTTGAAATGATTGTTTTAATCTCTGACTTTAAAAAACTAAGCTATTCTGTGTGCAATTATTTTCTTGCACTAAAAAATTTCATAATTTTTAATTATGAGTTCCATCCAATAAAATGCATAAGTTTTCAAAATATTTAGTTTATTCAAAGCAGAAAACAACTGTAGTAAAGTTGCTAAAAATGATAAAAGAAATAAAAAGAAATAATACAATGCGCATCAAGTTCAAAACTTGAACAATAGTTACCAACCCACACTATTGATTAATTTGTAATCATGTTGCACTCAAGCAAGGAAAAAATTAAAGATAGCTGCTAAATGAGCAGCAAAAACTAAATTAGCCTGNATAAGAGGTGTTAAGTAAGAGGATGATTAAGGTAATTAAAGATGTCAGAAAAAGTTGTGATTTGACAATCAGGTAGTGAAGAGAGCAAAACAAAAAAAAATTTCACACATTTTTTGCGAAAGCTATTTCCACCGCTCAAGTGAAAAAAGTGGCAGTAGTAACAGAAAATTTTTAAAAAATTAATCAGTCTGGTAATTGGTGTTGCTCCTGGTTATCACTACAGCTACTATTACAAACAAAAAAAAGAGGGAAGAAACACTTAAACAGGGTCAATGGGGCCTTATGTTTTTTGAAATGATTGTTTTAATCGCTGACTTTAAAAAATAAAGCTGTTCTGTGTGCAATTATTTTCTTGCACTAAAAAATTTCATAATTTTTAAGTATGAGTTCTATTCAATAAAATGCATAAGTTTTCAGATTGATTTATATTTAGTTTATTCAAAGTAGAAAACAACTGTAGTAAAGTTGCTAAAAATGATAAAAGAAATAAAAAGTAATAATACAATGCACATCAAGTTCAAAACTTGGACAATAGTAACCAACCCACACTATTCATTAATTTGTAATCATTTTGCACTCAAGCAAGGAAAAAAATTAAAGATAGCTGCTAAATGAGCAGCAAAAACTAAATTAGCCTGTCACTGGGTAAACAAGGTGGTGGAGTTAAAGTTTGACAAAGCAATCAGGAGAACTGCTAACATGACGTGAGCAAAACGTTTGTCTTTCTCCATCTTCTTATCAAGGTTTCTAAAAAATGCACTCAAAAGGCACTGCAAAGAAAACTGTATAAAAGTGCCACCACAGCTGCCATTTGGTGTGTCCTGTTGCATAACTCGATTTTATTCCAGCTCAATTATATTCAAACTCAACTCAAAAAATGTCCACTGGAAAGAAGCCAACTCTGTACGCTGTAGAAGCGATTCCCGCCGGCCGCCTAGTCGCCCTGGTGGCCCGAATCGTTGGAGTCGAGCTGGACGTCAAGCCGATCGACCTCTACGCAAAGGAGCAGCTGAAACCCGAGTTTATCAAGGTATGGTCATCTTTTGCATGTCAATCTTGATTTAATACAACTTCTCCTCTTTATTTCACTGCAGATCAACCCCTTTCACTGCATTCCGACACTGGTAGACACTGACGGCTTCACACTGTGGGAGTCGGCGGCTATTGCCTCTTACCTTATTCAAAGCCGAACGCCAAACTCTGACCTTTATCCGGCAAAGGACCTCAAAAAGCGCCTCACCATTGATCAGTTTCTGCTGTACAACACCGGCACACTGTACCGCTCTCTCACCGACGTCCACTACGCCGTCTTTCAGGGAACTGACCCTGTTCCCAAAGTGGAACGCCTCAAAGAGGTTCTAGAAACGGTGAACTCTTTTTTGGAAGGTCACAAAGGACAAATGGTGGCAGGAGGTGATAAGCTGACACTGGCAGACATTGCCCTTTACGTCAACCTAAGCTACATCGAGGTGATCAAGTTCGATATTACTGAACTTGCAGCTCTGCAGAAGTACAGAGCCCAGGTTAAGGAGGCGCTGGCGCCGTACAACGTCAATGGCTGGTGCGAGCAGCAGCAGGCGCTGCTGATAAAGCTGCTTGCAGACTTTAAGGTAAAGTTTGCCGAGGATCAGGCAAAGGCAAAGACGCAGTAAAAGAGACTGCTTCAAATGATAAAGATTCAATGTTTTCCACATTTTAAGTGTTTGTCTGCTTGAAATCGATCAAAACTGGTTTACATTAAAAATGATATTTTCTCTTTGTGTGTGCAATGATTTTGCAAAAACAAAATTTTTTAATTTGCCAAAATAATTGACTCCATTCAACAGTTTAGCTAGTTGCAGTTTATTATTTGGCAAAAAGGAGTACAAAAAAGATGCAAGTTGCAAGAATGAAGTTGGGGGAGAAAGGAAGAAAACGCCTTTTCACCAGTCTGGAGAAAAAGGGGGAAACAAACAGGCAAACAAAATAAATAAAAATAAATAAAAAACAAGCATCATCATCATCAATAGCAGCAGCAAACCGGACACAGCACAACTTGGTCAGCGGCTGCGGGGTGAACGTGAAAAGTCGGTGAAAAACGAAGTGTAAGTGAATGAGTGAGTGAGTGAGAAAAACGGTACAAAAATGTGACTATGCCGCATTAGGCGTACAACACAGCTGTACAGGCAAAAAGGGGAAAAAATCAAGTTAAATGCCTAAAAAGAAGAAAAAGAAGGAGAGGAAAAGGACGAAGACAATCAGCGAGTTAAGTAGATGAGTTCAAGAAAGAAGAGAACTGGAAAGAAGAGGGAAGGAAACGGAAGGAAAAGGGAGGGGGAACAACGGTATAAGAGGAGGATATCATCAATTGTGCGTGTCAGAGGAAGAGAGAGAGAGGGAGAGAGAGGAAATGCTTAGAAGATTCAGTCCTTCAAACGGAGCTCCCGTGCATGGACTCGGTGGTGGTGGTGTTGGTGATCACATCACATTCATTGCCTGTCAACGGCTGTGACGGCTGAGACGGTTGCTGCTGTTGGAGCTGCAGTAGCTGCTGCTGTTGAAGCTGCTGCTGCTGCAGTTTGGAGGCATTCTTGGCTGCACGGTTCTTTCGCTTGCGCAGAAAGGGAAAACAGCTGCGAGACTCGGGCTCCGGCGGTCCGGTGCCGATGATGAGGTCCGGCGTGAGGGCGCCGTCGGGGCCAAAGGCGCTCAGCTCCTCGAAGCACTCCGTCTCGATGATCTCATTCTGCCAGGGAATGGAGACGCAGCCGGTGGAGAACTTGCAGTAGAAGGTGTCGTCGCTGGCGTCAATCGCCACGCCCTTCACCGTGCTGAACTGCTCAATGTCGAGGACGTCCTTTGCGTAGACGGCGTGAGGCTGAGGAGAAAGAAGAAAAAAGAGTTTAGTGATTTGAAACCTTTCTCTCCCACAAAAACATACATCGGGCACAAAGGGCGGGTCGAGGAGACCAGCCTCGAGGCGTTTCCAGTTGATGGAGGCGAAGAAGGGGTTCGTTTTGACGTCCTTGGCACCGTGACGGCCGCTGCTGCAGCCCAGACGATCTCGTACTCGCTTCTTCAGTAGCTGGAGAAAAAAGATTTTAATCGAAATTTAAAAACTCAAAACAAACTGCACACTTACCTGTTTGCAGATGACCTGCGCGTCCTCGCTAAACTTGCTCGAGTACACCTCCTCGTCCTCTTTCACCCTCCGCTCCACTTCTTCTCGCTTCACCTGTGTAGGAAAAAAGGAAGCAAAAGTTAGTAAAAAATCCAAAAAATTTTGCACACTTCACAACTCTTCACCTTTTCCTTTCTCGCCCTAAAGGGCGCCTGTCCCTCGATCATCTCGTAGATCAGACAGCCCAGACTGAACCAGTCCGGACTGAAGGTGTACTTCTCATTGTCGATCACCTCGGGGGACATGTACCCGACGGTGCCCACCCTTCCGCGCACCTGCTCCGTCTCGGGAATCTCCACCGCCAGGCCCAGGTCGCTGATCCTCACGTGGCCATGGTCGTCGAGGAGAATATTCTCCGGTTTCAGGTCGCGGTAGGCAATGCCCAGAGAGTGCAGGTGCTCCAGGCCCTGGGTGATCTCGGCGGCGTAGAAGCGGACGCGCAGCAGGTCGAAGCCCGGCTCGCAGCCCATGTTGTAGATGTGGAACTTGAGGTCGCCGCCGTTCATGATGGTCAGCACCAGACAGAGCGAGTCCTTCGTCTCGTAGGCGTACGCCAGGCTGACCACGAAACGGGAGTTGACCTTCTGCAGAATCTGCTTCTCCGTCAGCACCATAATCTCGCCCTTGCGCTTCTTAATCCGCTTCTTCTCCAGCTTCTTGCAGGCGTACATCTTCCCGGTGGCGCGCACCTGACAGGCGCACACCTCGCCGAAGCCGCCCTTGCCCAGCACGCGGTACATGCGGAAGGTCTTCCCCGTGACCGGCCGCAGCTCCAGCACCTTCCACTGCAGGTACCGCAGAAAGTACTTGCTCGCCTCGAACTGCCTGAAGGGCTCGTCGGAGAAGAAGCGCTTGACGCACCTAAAATTGAGTGGGTGAAAAACATCGGTCATTGTCGCTGTGAAGTGGGCTGTGGTACAGTGGGGGATGCTGGGCAAACATTCCAGTGCACTCTCATTCTATTTGCCCATTGTCTCTGCTTTGTTTGGCTAGCGCGCTAATGCGAGGTGGTGGTGCACTCTCTCAGCGGTGGTCACTGTCAGATGTACGTACTGTAGGCATTCGTGGAAGAGGTCCCTGGCGAGGTTCTCCGAGTTCTGGATGCATNCATTGTCGCTGTGAAGTGGGCTGTGGTACAGTGGGGGATGCTGGGCAAACATTCCAGTGCACTCTCATTCTATTTGCCCATTGTCTCTGCTTTTTGTTTGGCTAGCGCGCTAATGCGTGGTGGTGGTGCACTCTCTCAGCGGTGGTCACTGTCAACTGTACGTAGTACGTACTGTAGGCATTCGTGGAAGAGGTCCCTGGCGAGGTTCTCCGAGTTCTGGATGCATCGCTCAATCACCTCACTGGGCAGCACATGGTCGAGAAAGGTGGAGGTGGTGGAGGATGTGTTGTTGGCTGTGGTGGTGATGGTGGTGCTGTTTTGGGCAGTCGATGAGGAGGATGGAGAGGGCAGTGCTGCTGCTGATGCTGAGACAGCAGAGCTGCTGGTGGCGGCGGTGGCCTCATCCACCGGTGCTGCTGTCTTTGAGGACACCAGAAAGCGTTCAATGATCTCCCTGGCGGCATGGCCCTTGTTTTCCGGCAGCTGCAGATCGTAGTTATCCTGTGTGTGTGTTTGTGTGTGTGCACACGTAAGTATAGAACAGTAGCAGCAGCAGTGTAGCAACGAGGGAGGGAGAACAGGAAGCCAGGGCAAATAGAGAGAAAGGGAGAAAAGAAAAGAAAAGCAGGCATATGTAATAAAACTAAAGTGTAAACAGCTTTTACAGCTACCACCGTCGCCTCCGTCAGTACGGGCGCACTTACCACTGCATCGAGGAAAAGATTACACTTGTGATATGTTGGTATTGTTTCGCAGAACTTGCGAAACAGTAGACGACCAATTGGCTGAAGCTCGATAATGAACCTGTAATGGATGTCTGTCAGATGGGAGAGAGAGAGAAGGGAAGAGAGAGAGGAGATGGGGAAAAGTAGTNAACGGCCAATTGGCTGAAGCTCGATAATGAACCTGTAATGGATGTCTGTCAGATGGGAGAGAGAGAGAGAGGAGACGGGGAAAAGTAGTGTAATTATTAATTACGGGCAATTATTGGTAAGACGCGGCGGCATGACTGAATGAGAAATGAGCGCCAAACACGCGCATACCTAATTTGGCTTTCAAGTCAAGGCATTGGGAAATATGAGGAAGCTGGAGTAATTTTCTCCATCTTTTGCTTTTTCCCTTGTTGCTGTCTGTACGGAGATTGGTGAACGAGAGAAGTGGCGGTGGTTTGCAAAGTCGAAGAAAAAGTGTTGAAGTCGATTGAAGTCAAGTGAAGTCAAGTGAAAGTGAAGGGCAATTTTGAGGCGTATTTGTTTACGAGTGGAACAAGAAAAAACAGAAATAGGTTAGTCGCAAAGTGACAAAAGAAATGCAAAAAGTGCACAAATGAGTTTTAAGAAAATGAGGACAAACCTTCACGAGCTTTAAGATAAACTGTGTTGGCAACAATATTCTCTAATTCCATTAACTCCACTTTGTCTAGGTCACTTCGGTTCCGTGTGTTTCCGACTGCAGAGGAAATGAAGAAATTGGACACAGCAAAAGGAAGGGAGAGAAATGCAAAGTTAGGCAAGATTAGGCTCAGTTTGGTAATTCGTCGTGCAAACTCGCTCAACTCAATTGACACGCAGTCTTCTACTTACAAGTTAATTTCCGCCTTCACTACACACCAAGATGATTGGTGGCTTGCGCAATCTCAAATAGATAGCATTGTTTTGGGAGAAAGAGGAATGGGGAGCGGGAGATTGTCGGCAAGATCGGTCCAAGAGGAATCAGTCGAGAAGGAGGAATAAGAAGAGAAAGTTCAAGTGGCAAAAAGCGGCCAAACTGGTCGTCGGCGGCCGTTGTTGTTTACTTTTGCGTCAGAATAGCAGCAGCAGCAACTTCAACAGAAGCAAATGCCGAAAAAGTCTGAAGAATAGAGAGCAGAGTGTAGCTCTTCAAAGCAATGTTGCCAATGTGTAGAGGTTTGATGATGGTGAAGAGCAGAAGAAGAAAAAGAAACACGGCGGCGGCAAAGCTCACAAAAACAGTCTGGCAAAGACTAGAGTAGAAGAAGGAGAAGAGGAGGAGGAGGAGGTGAAGAAGGAGGAGGAGGAGGTAGAAGCTCGACACCAATTGAGATCAATTGATTTGAAGTGTAATTGAGAAGAAGCGGGGCAGAAAAGCAATTGAGTTAATTTCTTCCTGAAAATATTGTGTTATTATTAGCTTGATCGGGTAGTAGCGGAGGTAGTTGTGTGGAGGTTGATGTGCTGCTGGTGGTGCTGGTGCTGACAGGGAGCAAGATCTGCTCTGGCCTGGGACTGGGATGGCGCGGGGGCAACAAGTACACCGACTTTGCGACAACGAGCATTCAGCGATTGATCACTAACTGGTGGCAATCTTGAGTGAGTGGTGGTGGTGGTGGTGGTCGATATCACAGAGGTTGGTTGGTAGAATGTGCTGGTGTGTTGTGATTTAGAGGAGATTTAGAAGAGATGCAAACAAGACTTACTTCTTACTTCAATTTACTACCAGCGTATGTGTGAGTGTGTGCCTGCTGCTGCTGCTGACGGTATGTCGATGGCTCGCGTGCCTCAAATGAAAGAAGAAGAAGAAGAAGCGGTTGCGGCCTTCGGAAGACTTTGTTGATGCTGATGAAGTTGATGATGTTGATGATGTTGGTGGTGACGGTCTCTCCCTCTGCTAAAGTTGCCTACAGATGATGATGATGATGATCAAGTCGGCGTGATAAGGAGGAGGAGGGAAAGAGAGAACAGGAGATTGGAAAGATTGGAGTCAATAGCAAGTAAGGTTATACAAAGTAGAAGAAGTGAGGCCGATGTCTTGTTGGCTTGCTGTCTTGCCTGAGAGGCTGCAGACAGCTGCAGGAGCTACTACAGTGGACAGCTACGACAGCGGCAAACAACAACGACGACGACGACGGCGGTGACGGTGACGGCTGACACAGAGTCAGTCAGTCAGTCAGTCAGTCGGTTGGTTGGTTGGTTGGTCGGTCGGCCAGGATGCAGTAGTCGTAGTAAAGAAGAAGCAGGAGAAGGAGAAGAAGGAGTAATGTAATATTTACGTGATTGAGAGTATTGAGTATTTCTGTGGAGAGTCAGTCGGTTTGTTGGTTGGCTGGCTGGTTGGGCTTGTTGGACGACACGTTCTTGGACTGCTGCTCCTGCTGCTGCAGGATCTCTTGTTGCTGCTGATTCTCCCTCTCTTTCTTTCTCTCACTCTCCTGAGCTGCTCACACTTGCTTGCATGTGCTTGCTTGCCCTGAGACTGCTTGCAGACCGACCGACAGACAGACACCGTGTGTGTGTGTGTGTGTGCAGAGGGAACGCCAGGGGATGGATGATAAATGGATTACGGAGTCGGCGACGTCGGCGGCGGCGACGGTGTGCAGATGCTGATTCTGATGATGGTGATGGTGATGCTGCCTATGCTGCCTATGCTGCTGCTGGGCGCTGAGATTGTTGTCGGCGCTTCTTCTCACTTCTTCTTCTTTGGCTGACGATGCTAATGTGGTGGCTGCTGGTAGTGCTAATGCTGCTGATGCGGATGGTGGTGGTGGTGGTGGTGTTAATGTTGGCACACATTGGCTGCTTGTGTACGATCGGCGATGTACGAGGCTCTGCAGCTGCTTCTGTTGATCTGCCAAGTAGAAATGTGTTCGCGGCTGCTGCTGATGCTTCAGATGCTTCTGCTGTCCACCAAGCGCAACGCGTTTCTGCAAGTGTGCGCTCCAGTGCCGTTCTTTCCTATTCTTTCTTTCTCTCTTTCGGCGATCAGTTGGTTGGTTTTTTCTCTTTCACTCCCTCCCTCCCTTCAGTCTTTCTTTCTTTCCTTCTCTGGTTCCCCCAAAATACTTTCAGACTTTTGCTGTCTCCTCTTCTTCTGTTCTTCTTCTATTCTGTTCTCTCTGAGTCTGGAACTGTCTGTCTCTGTCTGTCTGTGTATGATGCTCCCTCCCGTACAGATAGATAGCACTACTACTCTGCCCTGCTCAATGGACTCCCTCTCACTCACTCACTCATTCTCTCACTCTATTCCTTCATTGCCTCTCTCACGATCCTCTCCCACCACCACCGCCGCTCAATTAGTGCCGCTCGCCGCACCGAACTGCACCGCACAGAATCAGCGGCAGCAGCAGTTCTGCTGAAACTGGATGCCTGTGTGTGCTCTTGGGAGCTCTGAGAGAGAAAGGCACTGGGCGCCCAGTCATCTCAGTCAGCTCAAGCCCAGCTCTTTTTCTCTCTTTCCTCTCCCGTGGCGGCATTCTTTGCTGACGACGTAGCAGGCACCCGAGGAATAGGAATAGGCCCAAACTTTGGCACCCACTCTCTTCCCCCCATACAATGTAACGGTCTGTGCGTGTGTGCTGGTGTTCAGGCAATGCCTACTGCTCTCTGCTCGGCGCCGCAATTTGCCGCTGCTTACCAGCACTACCACCACCAGCACCAGCACCACCGGCTGTGCAAAGTGCCCTGCTCACCCTACAGAATCCAACAGAATCGCTGCCTGCTCGGGTGGTCGGCCCTTTGGCTGAGCTGCTGCTGCTGCTGGTTCTGCTGCTGCCGTTTCCTGCGCCAGTGCTGCTGGTGCCACTGGCACACTCTGACACTCTCTGGGATCGAGTGTGAGCTGTTTGAGCTGCTGCTGCTGCTTCGGCACTCCATCACTATTCGTGAACACGCACCTGCACTTTGCGCCAATGACAAAAGTAGCTGCTGCTGCTGCTGCTGCCGCTTCCCCCACAGTTCAACACTTCACCGCTGATCGGCAAAAAGGAAGGAAAAAAGAGTGCTCTCGATGACAACAAGCCTTCCTGTGCTGTTTGCTGGTTGGCTGGTT